TAAATTTGGTGACTGCTAGCTGCCTGAGAAATAAGTGAAATACTGCTTTGATCATTTAGTGCCCATAAGCTGTTCACAACTAAACAGCCGATTCTCTTTAAGTTATTCACTTTCTATCCAAAAGTTAAGGTGAAACATGGTCAAAATGTTGGCATGGCAAGTCAAAGTCAATGTTTGTATATTGATCATCTGGGATAAAAAATAGTAAAATATCAAGGTCATGTTGCCTGTCAGTAGTTTACAAATTTATCCAAATCTCATGTGCACACTTGAAATACAGGTTAAGATTGACATCTCTCTAGCTACCAGTTATCTGTTGTAATGATTATTGTAAACAATTCCTTAAACCCTTTGTCTGCTTGCGGCAACAAATGCTACCTACATGTATGCAAGCAGAACAGACCAAGATAAGCTGGTACAACTTTGAGGTGTGTACATGGTCTGCTCTTTGTCTGTTGGGTATTCACTACCTACATATTTTGAAAAATTTTTCAACAAAAGATGAAAAATTTAGGTTTAGATTGAAAAGATAAAAATTTTTGGAAATTTTAGCATGGAAAGGGTTTTAAAAATCAAAAATTAACCCCCGTTTGGACAGGAAAGATCCCCTTAAAAAGTGGTTTTAAAACATTGTTTCTGATTTTGGGTTTCCCTTTAAAAATATTTTAAGAATGAAATAGAAGCTTGACCTTAAATATATGGTATAAAGAACTGCTTTGTGGTATTGAACAGAAGCTCCTAAGGAAAATGACCATACGGTTGAATATTATATGGATTTAAAGATTGTTTAAAAAAGTCAAGTTGCATACAACACCTAGAGCTAAGGTACCTGATATGTCAACTGAACAATATAAATCGTGTTCCAGAGGTCAAAATTGGTTCAACCCTAAGGGTCTCCTGTTTCAAAACTAGTGAAAGTCTTAAAAAGAAAGCTTCCTCTGATAAATCCCAGAGCTTATATATTTGTACCATTGTCTTCATGTTTATAAGAGTTAGATAATTATGATTCATAGTGTTGACATGATGCAATATCTAAATCTCGGCTGACTAACTGAACAAGAACAGTTGATGCTTAGGATATGTCTCATCCGTAAGATACATCATTGTCCAATTGACAATACCATAGAAGAATACATGATCCCCTCTTTGCTGTACTTCATGCCTTGAGTCAAATTCTATTTGTCATGACCTCAAAGTGTTTAATCAAGTTTCGCTTTTTCATCAACTTTTCCTGGACTGTGTTCATATATAACCAGTTACCAGCCTGTGGTAATCCCTTAACAACAAAGCAATTCAGCAAAGCTCAATATAAAATTGAATATGTCTAACAATATCTGACCAGCTACCTTGCTGTAACACTTCTTACCTGTATTTTATAAAAGAAATCATCTTTGGTTTTTAATGGGGTTTTATCATATGATTTCTAATATGTAGATACACTCCCTCGTTGTTTGGGACATAAATATAGATAATTAAGTGACCTATGGTTATTTATTTTAACATTTTTTGACTGATAACATAAAATGATAATTGAAGACAATGATTTATTGTTATGATTGACAGACAGCAAGTATCTTTTTCACATAAAGTAAAAGTTTGCAAAAAGACAAAATGTTCAAAAGGATGTAAAATGATTTTGCACACAATATTATGCTTTGTTAAACAGTTTTAGTATTAATGACCAGCACTTGATGAAACACGATCGCATAACACAATGCATTGGCCAGTCTTGGACAACGTTTACAGGACATCTATACAATTCCCATTGCATCCATCTCTCTCTTCATTTGACACACTGCGCATGCGCCACAGAAATTTAACACAAGGCAGTCATGACATAGAGAACCCTGGAAAAAAATCACACCAGATTAGATCATATAAAATTAGTATGACAGTTTACATTGTTGATTAGATAAATATTGTATTAAAATTAAATGTCGGTCTTATATAAAAGCAAAACGAGGACAATGCTTGTTTTATTTTATCTATGTCTGTGTTTTGTTTAACAAACCTGTATTCCACCAAGAGTACGAAGTCTCTGTCTAAGGGCAATCATAGCTCCGGGAATGCACACGGGAGCACATAGAATCTCGCCCATACGTGATGATAATTGGCACTGCACACACGGCCCAAAACACGCTACCATTACACCTGAAATGCAATTGTCGTCCATTACATTTTGTATTTTTTTTCTTCTACACATGCCGATTTTAAAATTTTACTTCCAAAAGAGGCACGCAGTTGAGGAATGACGTAACAGCAAACCAGAAAGAGAGTAAATTATTCTTGTATCATAGTTTGGGGACCTTTCTGTTGAAAATGTGTCAGAGTTAAAAAGTATACATAAACACGCACAGTGCGTTAACTGAAGTGCAGGTATTAGGTACCTGCACTCCAGAGCGTGTCAATGGATTGACTCATTTTTGCTGGGGTTTACTTATTGTGACGGCAGAGAACGGGAAAGTGATAGCAATATCATATCCAGATGCTCGTTCATTGGTTACTTTTTTCTGGGATTTCATATTGTGACAACAGCTAGGGAACGTGTCTTTATGTTGACTATGATACAAAAAAGAAAGAACACCGAAACACTCGGCAATTTGATTAAAACTCTGGGGCTACCCCCTCTCGTACTAATCAGATGCTCTTTCGATAACATAACATTTAGTAAGCAAAGATATTTCTTGTGATGTCGAAAATTAATAAACGTTAATCTAAATATGGCGACTGTTTAATATAAACATGAATTAATATATATAGTATGTTTTAGTTACTCTATAATCAACAAAATATATTTTAAAAGAAAAGAGAAAGCATTCTAAGGTCTACTTATGTTAAAACAACAACAGAAAACGTACAATTAGTTACATCTTGTGTACAATCAAAGAGGCCGGATGACCACTCCCTGTTTCCGGTCATGGGAATGATAATCTTGCCCTGCACGGAACCAAACTCTGGCTGTACCATTACAACAGGTCCCTTCTGGTACCCGTCCGGCTGCGAGCTGATGATGGGCTGCTTCTCGCTCATTGTGATAACTACACTGTTAGGAATGATTATATCATGTGTAATTATTTGTTCATAATCTACAACTATTTTTTAAAAAGAAACTTTATATATACACGAAGTTTCTTAATCTCCATTTCATTTTGACAATGTTACCCTTTGTATGAAATACTAGAGTAATTTATTTTTCAGTAATAGCGCGACAATAAAAACGCATGCATATGTATATTGATTAAATGTTAAGATACAATGTATTTATATATACAGTGGAACCTGTCTAATCCGAACTCGTCCGGACCAGAAGAAAAGTTCGGATTAGAAAGGTTTCCGGATTAGAAAGGTTTCCCAATAAGAAGGGTTTTTTACATGTTTTTTTCATGTTATTTGCAAAATAGTTGAAGGAAAGAAAACTGGAATGCATTTGAAATTGCAATTTAGATATTTTATTTTTGCAGTCTCTTATCGTTCATTTTAATACATGTGAATACAAAAATAAAGAATAAAAATAAATAAATAAGCAAAAATATTATGTCATCAAGGGTAAGTTAACCTACGATGTTAAACAGGAGGCCGAGACATGATTAGATATTCGGACCAGCATTTGTCAATTGTTGTTTACTCTTATCCGATTCAGCGACTATCCGAATTCACAGACAGTTTCCATTAATTTGCATTACTTAATCACGTAACATTGAATCCAATACAAAGGATTAAAAGATATTTCTATTGCATTATATCAAAATATATATAGAAGCTGACTAAAAACAATCAATTAAGCAATTATAGAAGATATCAAGGCAAGCTAAGTGTAATTTTCACACCTTTGCAGATCATACGTTTCACCCATTAATCAAGCAAAATATTTTTTACTCTTATCAGTTTGGTGTATGTTAACACCTGCAAGATGTGCGATTATTTGTTATTTTGAATGAAGGTGTGACATTTGGAAAAATCTGTTCGGATCCGAGAGGTAAATTTTATAGTAAAATAAGAACAAAAATTGAAAAAATCGTCCGGAATTCGGAGTAGACAGGTTCCGGATCCGAAAGGTTTTTTACTATTGAAAATAGAACAAATAAAATCGGGATTGGACACTTCGTTCGGATAAGAAAGGATTCCGGATTAGAAGGGTTCGGATTAGCAAGGCTCCACTGTATTACTATGCTTTTTCATATGATTAATTTAGGATAAATATAAAAAAACAATGACATGTGCTATCGATGTCCGCATCCCTATGGTTTAAAAATTATTGTTGGACAGGTAACAATTGATGCTCTATTTTGGTACTGAAAGTTGGTAATACACAGGGTTGTGCTTCATTAAAAGTCCTCATTGTACGAGTATAATCAGTCTTAAGACAAAAATCGGGACAATTTTGCAATTTCACGGAAAATGTCCTAACTTATGATTCATATGTGAAGACTTCTTCAATTTCTGAATAGCAATGCAGATAAACATTAACACATTGCTAATTAAAACGCGTGTCATAGTATGTAGTTCTTAACTTTCTCATGAGAATATTTTAAACGAAGTGTAAGATTTTGACTAAAGATAAATATATTAATTTAAACAGTCTCAAATTAGTCCTATAGTTGGTAATATGTTTTTGGACTTGGGATACACTTAGGATTTACCGTAAAAATGCAGCCCTGTACAACTTCAACTATAATACTATTAGGTCTACATACATATAATAACGGAACAATTCAGGAGCCGCATACTAATTTACTCGTGTGTTTCATTGTTAACAGTTGATGAAGAAAATTAAGTTTCACGTGTCATTTTACATTACAATTCGAGAATAATATCTTTAGTTTCCTGTTTATAAGTTGAATCAAAATCGTTTACATCTAAAACAAGTACACAACAATATACTTACATTTAGTGGCCCTCCTTTGCGTGTTTCACAACCGTTTAAAATCACTATAGTAAGAAACCACGACGATATATATATGTACATATATTTCAATATCAACCAATGATAACGTATTTTTATTTACTTTATACAAAGGGAAGGTGCTGTGTCCTAATTAAATCGTGTGATTAGATTTTAAGATCAGTCACCGCAGCTTTTAAGTGTTATCTTTAATACGAGATTATTTCAAAACAAGAGATTCAAAATGTAGTCTATATCTGGTGTACGGTCAAACTCGTGGACAACGTCAGCGAAAAATGACGTTGGCTCATACTAGCTTTTTTTCTGAAAGGCAAAGGTCATTTGAACACTAGTTAAAGGGGAAAAATCAATATTAGATTGAAATATTATTACGTTTTATTCATCATCATTATTATCATCACCAATATATTATCATCATGATTTGTAGGAATTACTAAAGAATCTACTCACAACTTAATTGTCTTAAATTCTTACAATCAATTCGTGTTATTACACCTTTATTCGCATTACATGTATTTCGCCTTTTGTTTCGCGTAATTACGCCTTTTGATTCGCGTTATAAAGCCTTTCTTATTTATTTCTTATACATTTAGGCTTTCGTATATAATTCATGTGCTTATTTATTCATAAATTGTATAGACCGTAATTTGTTCATGTATGTATTTGAGTGATATTCTTTTCACATGGAAATGTTCTATGGCCGCCCTTTTTCTGACATTTTCAAATTAATAAACATTCTACTAATATTTCAACAAGATCTTTTTTGTAATTAAGTCTCAATTAATTTATTAACTTTGTTCACGATTTTAGAGCCAAAATCGTTCTGATTTTCTTTTGTCCACTACAACATACCATGATATGAATCATTTGCATTCACTAGTCAGTATGTGTCATGGTCTCATTTAGTAACCCTTCAAGTTTGTAATTCTGTTACTTCCCTTTAATTGCCGGCTCGCCACGGCGAGCCGGTATTACGGTAGGATTTTACTGAGAAACAACCTAAAACTCCGAAGCTATCCAAAAATTTAATCGAAGCTTGGCTTCCAGCTTTCTACAAAATTTATCTATCAGGGCTAGGATCCAAAATTATTTAGCCAATCAAATTTAATCTTACAAACCGTCAAAAAACCTTCAATTTTCACGCCATTTTTAAAAATCAGCAAGTATTGTTTTGAGCGCAAAGATATAATGATGATTAAAATGTTTGTCTTTATGAATTCTTTTCAATAAATCATATTTACACTGACTTCTGATTTAGCGATTTCACCTGTTTTCTCTGTAGTAAGTTTTCGTTTGGTTAATTAACATAAGTGTACATCTGGTTCTGTGCATTTTATATTTTTCCTTTTTTCCGGTCATTTTATCCTTTCCGGTATTTAGTGTATGTATTTACTGGCCGGGATCCGGGACGCCCGGGATCCGGGATCGTATAAGATAAGGAGGAAAAACCTAATGAACTATATTTGTGTTGATTGTTGTCGTAATGAAAGGCCATTAAACGTTAATTTTTTTATTGTATATAATGAACGTTAAATTAATTTAACTTATAATATAGATATATTTAGAGCTATTTATTAACAAACTTAAAATGCGGAAATCACAATACTTATAATTATATGCCTAATTAATTGGAAAAATCAAAGACTATTTTCTTGAATTGGTCAAATCCCGGGATCCCTATATATTTTAAAACGATCCCAGCTTTTCTGAAAACTATATACTTGAACTGGCCAATCCGTGAGATCTATTTAAATTTTAATACGATCCCGGCTTTTCTGAAAACTATATTCTTGAACTGGTCAATTCCCGGTATCCCTATATGTTTTAATAGGATCCCGGCTTATCTGAAAAACATCTTCTTAGACTGGTCAATTTCCGGGATCCCTATATTTTTTAATAGGATCCCGGCTTTTCTGGCTGAATTGATTGACAACTTGTGTTTACTTTAGGACTTGTGCCTCTCATTCCAATACTAAATAACATACATGTATTACAACTTAATTTTGTATAAAGAGACATCTTTATGAAATCTACCTATCTAACATTTTGTGGTCAAGGTCAACAGGCCATATAGTAAATGTGCATAGACATAGGTTCTTCATTCAATCTGTTTACATGCACCTTCATATATACTCATACTCATCTTGGTTAAACTGAGAGAACTTTATATGTCACTTTCAGTCAATGAGTTTAAGATTTTGAATTTACTGGCCCGAATTCCAGTTTTGAATTTATTCTACTAAATAATTAACAAAATTTTCTTAAATTTACACTGGCCTGAACTTATATACACTGGCCATCGGGCACCGGGCCAGTGTTGACTTCACTTTTATTTTGATGTTCGCTGAAGTCTCTTCAGCTAACAGAGCTGTCATTTTTACATTTAAACACACCCCTTGAAAAAAATTACGAAGCGAGTCGCTACTAGCTTTTTTAAAAGCTAGCCTTGTTATTATGTTTAAATTGCTTTGTGTGTCTCTCTGTTACCAGCCAGCAGTCAAACTCGAGCTCTGGTCTTAACAACATCTGTTTCATTTTACAAACATTTTACAAGGACACTTCATGAACGATTTTACTTTTTATTTTTCTTCTTATAATATTAAAATAATAATGATACTTAAACTGTCACTTAACAACATTTTGACCGCCAGATACACAGACATGCTTAGCGACTAATAGACTCATATCTATAAAAGGAAATGTCAATTCAAGAAACATACAAATTTGCAAAGTTTATGATTAACCTTGGTGATAGAAGTAAAAACAAACACACAACATCCCATTGCATTAGAGCGAATGTTTGGTTTGATCTTCAAACAGAAACATGTCTTTTATTTGTAAATATCATTTATCAGATTTCTTATCACATCCATTCTGACTGTGTTAGGTGGAAGTTTGTTAATTTCTTTTACAAAAACATCCAAAGAAGCCTTCTCCTCCTTCTCTTTTTCCCATGATCCGAGCATCTCATAAATCCTCATAGACGTTCTATGATAGTCAAGCTCTATCTGTTGTAGAGTTATTTCATTGACTCCTAGCAGTGATCCAAGAATCCTCCATTCAGATCCAATAGCAGTGGACAGTACTGCATGTTCTTTTCTTGTGAGCGTACGTTTTGGTACGTCTGCAACAACTATATTTTGCCCATACCATTCATGTAAGATGTGGTCAATGTCAATACTTTCATGACCGACATTGTCTGGACAACATACTTTTTTCTCTGACTGCTTCTTCAAATTTCCTAAGTCATATAATGCTTTACTTCCTTTGCAATTATGTAGTTGGTGTTGGCATCTAACTGCCACTTTAAATGGTATTTCATCTATTTCTTCAGAACTCCGAAGCTTCAGAAATTCATTTAGTATCACATTTTCAACAAATCTTCGAAAAAAATCGGCCACTTCAGCTTGTATGTTTTCTTCGATGCACATAGGAGCTACCAACAATTCTAGCTTATTTTCAGCATAAGTAATCACACCTGCATGCCTCTGATTAATCCTGTACACACCTGCATTCTCAAACAGCAAACTACTTCCATTCAGTTCAAGGACTGACCAACTTCCAACCGCTGCACCTGTAATTCTTTGAAATACTGTTGTAACAACTGCTTCATTGTCAAATATAAAAACTAGTGAAACTGTGGTGGAACGTCTTTTCCCAACGAAAATCTCTATTTCATCTTGTTTCGCCTTTCTCAGGAAACTAGGAACTATGTAGTAGCCAAGTGATGACAACTCCGCAGTGTTATCATCAAACTTTAGTGCCTCAGAAATGATCTTATGTCTTTTCAAAATAGCCAGAAGAACATCTTTAAACTGAATGAAATCCTTATTGCCATCATTACTCCAGACAGACTGCAAAAGACCCGGGTCTAAAATAGCCCTTGTTGTAAGCTTTTGCCACAAAGGTCGCAGAGCTGTGTCCTTTCTGCAAAACTTACCAGATGTGAGGATGCATTTGAAAGCATCAACTATGAACGAAGGCTTCAGGACAACAAATTCAGCCAATTCGCCTTCATCAAAGTAAATGAATGTTCCTCTGGCATGATGGAATTTTAGAAATGATTTCATTTCATGTTTTGAACCAATCGGAGACCCGTAATCTTTATTCAATTTCATCACCTCCTCAAATCTTATAATATTTTGTCTTTGCCGTAATAAATACTCAAGAAGCAGCCAGCTGGCAGGTAGCATTTCCGTTTTCTTCCTCCCTATATCTACAATTGTTTCCCGAAGGCGATTAACTTTACCATCTGTTAGATCTTTGCCTGCTATAGCAAAACATTCGGGGGTAATTATGATTCTTTTTGACGCCCAAATAAACTTTTTCTCTGATAAAATTAAAAAAAGTCTTTCAGCTTTCCCCTTCTTTCCTTGACCCCATCTTTAGCGTTCCCAAACTAAAAAAAATTTTGTGGTTGATAAAAACTCTTTGTTGCCGCCCATATGATTTTTACTGAGTGCCCCAAAAAATTTTCAAATTAAATTTTTTCCATTGATTCAAAACTGGATGCGTACCGCCTGGATAGTCAAAAATAAATAATGGGGGGGGGTTAATGTTTTTATGAAGTCAAATACTAAAAAAATAAATTTGGTTTTCCCCGGAAGGGGGAAAAAATTTCGGGGGGGAGTTGCGTAAAAAAAAAAATTTTGACCCCCAAAAACCCCCAAAGTGAATTTTTTTGTTTTTTTTCACAATATTTTTTTGCTTTTTTTTAAATTTCTTGTTTAAATTGCTCAAAAAGTGATAGGCTGTCGTTTAGCCTTGGATCATCCATAAAATCTCCCCAAAAAATTGATAATTTTTCATCCTTTGTCAAAACTGGTTTAGAACTAGGAGTGGGTGTGGTTCTAGAATAAATAACTTGTGAACTGGTGGAAATTGCACCATCTAACGCATTGTCATCATTTTCAGTTTTTGTATCGTCAGCTTGTGTCATACTTATCTGAGCCAGTCTTTTCATAGTGTGTCCATAAGAATCTTCCTCTGTTAAACTGTTCCAAACATTTTCATCCTGTTGGCATGTAACGTTATAAATGTCTATGCCATTTGTACTTTGTACTCCATCTAAGTCATGCGACATTAACCTTCTGGCTAGCGTGGTTTTACCTTGACCGAAGCATCCAATTATCATAAGTCTTATGGTTGTGTCTTCTTCTTTACCGTTATTTAATGCATTAAGATAGTCCGTAATGTAATCATAGCCTGCATGTGCAAAAGAGGAATACTCTTCTGGTGCCTGGTCATTATCAAAGTCGGGGTCTTTAGCTGATTGGTCTAAGCCTATAATAGACAGTGAATTACTTCATTTTTAAAAACAAAACTTTCAACTTTATTTATGAACAGGCTCAATATAACAGACTGAAACCTTTCGAATTAAGCCGTGTTTGGGGACCTTTCTTATTGAATATGTATTTAGAAATGTATTTAGAAAAACGTCAATATCAAAAATCATTTAAAAATGTGACAAGTTATATGTGTAATATACATTATATAGAGTTTATACCATATAAATTAAAAAAAGGCGTGCAAATGTTTATCTATCTATCTATCGGTAGAGAACACGCAATCTACTTTTACTTAAACTTTAGGATGGTCCACCAAATGATGCTAAAACTGATTTCGTTGTCATTCATTTCTAACCTAAATCAAAGTCCAATTAAAATTAATCTTTTTTTACTTTTTTTTTTCAACTCGGTTAGCTCCATAATTAGGCTAACATAACCAAAAATTATCTGACCTAATTAAGTGAAAGACAATAAAATGCCATGCTAAAAACACATCGAAAATTAATTCAATTTTACCCTAAGAAGGTAACATAGCTTTAACAAGGCCCTACCAATTTTATGTCAGTAAACTTTCATTGAAAGACAACGGTCAATGGTGGCATTGAACAAGTGATGAGCATACAAAAATATATCCATACAATACGAATAATATAATTATTATTTGTTACTTAACTATGCTTTTGAAATGAAAAGGAGATAGCAAAAATAGTCTTCATTATTTGCCTTTTAAAAATTTATTCCAGTTTTTTTTTTCGTGAACACATATTGTTAGTTTAAAGAGAATTATTGTGTTTACTTTAGAAAATAACCTTTACAAAAGTGTTAGTCAGGCCAAAAAGTCTAATGCATGGCAGGATGATTGTGAACAGGAAAGCCAAGTAATAAGGGTTACCGAGAAAATTTACCTTAAGTGACATTATGGTCATTTTTTCATTGTCGGGTTGAGCTGAATTGACCATAATACTTCAAATGATTAACTGTTAAACAAACAGTTGATATTGGAAAATATGAAAAGAATGTCCCACTCTTTTTATAAATTGAGCTTATCGGTTATTTTCGATGGATATATAACGAAATTACCTTGGGGCCACGTGAGTTATTCATTGTTCACACAAAGTATCTTATAAAAATTAAATAAATAACCGCAAAATATTAACTTATTTCGACATTCACCAGTTCACTCACTATATGCACTTAGATGGGTATGATATCAATTTAAAAGGCCAGTTTCTTTGACCTTGTGACGAAAATATCAGTGTGACTTGTAGAACTCAACAAGGTGTGTTACAATATCATAACTTTATTAGTATTTAAGATGAAGCAAAGCGGTCAACATGCTATCATCAAAACACTCCTCTCAGCACTTTGTGCTCATGTGAACTACGAATACAAAATGTATACCTGATTCAATAAAAGTTGTCCATGGCAAAGTCTCTTGTTTTTCTAGATGTAAAGTAACAAAGTCCTTTTTGTACTGAAAGAAACAAACAACACACAGTTTATGTATCGTCTGTTCTTGTGGCTAGTTTTAATTTGATATGGAATAATAAAAAAAATATGTGGCAATAACGTTGTTATACGTACTGAGATGGCAAAACTAAGGTAAAGTCAGTCATATGTGACGTCTTGTATATGTTTTTACAGCAAAATATTTAAAAAAAAAATTAACAAATTCCCACTGCCCCCCTGTTATATCACAGATCTATTTTTATTATTATTGGCAAGACAATGCCTGGTCTAAACATCAAAATGTTCAAAGCACAAACAATACAATGGTATTACTACATGTCAAAAAAATTACAAATTTTCAAAAGTATGGGGATTCACCCTTTCCTTTTAACCCCTAAAATTTTTCCGGATGTATTTTCCTGTAAATTTTTTGACTGTATTTGTAGGTTTGTCGTTAACATTAAAATTTTTCATTAACTAATTGCATTTAAATTGAAATCCCCTAAAAAAATAACATATTTTTTAATTCATTTGTACTAATAAGAAAAACCTGAACATATATATAACAAGAGAAGTCAGTCGGTAAAATATATTTGATGCAATTTACTACGAAAATTAAAAGACTACAAATAGGCAAATGTAAGAATTTTTTTATAATTACAATGAGAAATTGATGTTTTTTTAGCTTCAAATGACTTGAATCGAGTGACTCTTCATTAGTTTTATGCAAGGCGTATATAGGTGTATCAAATAATTACAATATTGGTCAAGTGGAGTCTTATGGTTCCTAAAGCCTTTCTATCAGGTGCCACCCGTGACTAAAATAATGCCCAGAGGGGCACCTGAAGTCTTCCTCTCATGGTAAAAGTGTAAAGTCGCAATATGACCTTAAAGTCTCTGTATGACTTAAAAGCCAAGATAGCAAATATGTTAACAATTTTTCATAAGATTACGGATGTTATTAACCCAAAAAGCATCGGAATTTTGAAAAAAGGTTTACATTTGGGTTCCCCGCTAATCCCAATTAAAACTACATATTATACAATATCTGAAAAAATATTTTAATTTAAATTTACAAAGGGTCTCCTTAAAAAAATGATTTTAAAAAAAAAAAAAGGAAAAAGGCAGAAAAAAATATCTAAAGCACAATTTTTAGGCGGGAAAACCCAAATAAATTCAACCATCAAGTAAGAAAAATTCTTGTGTCCCATGTGGGCAGCCCGGGTTGCTGGTTTATAAAAAAAACTGGGCCTTTGTTTTATTTAAAAATTTAATGTCATTTCTTTTGTTTTTTTTTTTATTTGGAAAGGGTTTAAAAAAAAATATCCTTAAAACCTATATTGGGAAACTGTTGAATTGAAAAAATAACTTCTGGGCATAAGTTTTTCAAAATTCAGTTCAGTTTTGAAAAAAAAACAGCAACAAGCAACATTCCAAACAGTTAAAGCGGCCTTCAGCTTTTATTTTTGTTGGAAAACGATTCACTGAATTGTTGGAACAAACTAAGTACTTCAATATTTACATGTTGGAAAAGTGAATCATATCACATATACTATTAAGCCTTCTTCAACAAGAGTTCCGAGAGCTATTTTATAACGCTCCACGGAAAATAAGAGATATCTTGGGGTAAAATTCCTTATTATTTATGTATCTTATCGACGAAAAATTTCATTTCCCATCTGAATTCTTTTTAATTGATAATTTTATGATTTAAAGAGACTTCAGCGAACATGTTTTATAGTACTGCTAGACCTGTTTACTGTCGCACAACCACTGCGGTATACCGTACCCCGGATATTGCTCGATATTATGAGGACTTTCATCCCATTTCGCGACTTTGAACGAAGAAAACAAACAGGTTAGTTCATTGACGATATTTCATCATTTTGAATTGGTTTGATATAAATTTTATAGAAAAACAAATACTTCGATAATTTCTCTAGTTACTGAAAACCCAAAAAATGTTGAGAAAAAGCTTTGAAATATAATTAGGAGGTAAAATTCGTCTCTTTGCTCACGTGATAAATGAGCTCGGATCAGTCAAATTTGATGTTTTCGTGAATATACTTCCTTAAAAGAAAAAGTTGAATCGAGTGAAATGTGATAATGGTGATAATGTTTATGTTGTAAATCTTCAATCAACAATAGAACCTCAGATGACAGTGCATTTTGAGAATAAATACACATAAGTCAGTGTACCGAGTATTGAGCCGGTGTCACGAGTATTGCTTTTTAGTGTAATATCAATATAGAGTAAATCCTACATTTAATTTTAAATATTTCTTATTGTGTACTGGGCAGGAACCAGTTTCCGGACAATACCAGTTTCCGGACAAGTATTATAACAGCTTAATTTTGGCTTTATCGATGACGATCGGTATTATATGTCATGAAGATGCTTGGTTTGATTGTTTGAGAAAATAAACTTCCTTCCAAGTTGATACATCATTAAAATTTCGTGAGGATATCTTACCTGTGTTTTAAAAACAGCCTTATATCCCTTTGGGGCATGTAATTTGTTCTGCGCATGCGCAATATTTTGTTTATTTCGGGATATAATTTGGGGTAGCAATTAATGCACAATGTACTTCATTTGAAGTTCATTGGGTGTACCCCCAGAGCTAAATCTGTAACGTATCGGGAAACGGTGTTTAGCTAGGTTTACTCCACTTTCGCACTTCGTTGCTGCTGTACACACAAAAATATCTGTTTCACTTTTCAGTCATTTCGAGACCCATCACGTGATCGTTATTTTTCCTATCATAAACATTTTTCAGTAAATCAGCTTAATTATATAAGAAAGCTAATATGTGCGAAGAAATTTGTTGTTATATTAGAGTAATTATCAGTTAAAACATATATAAATAGCAGCTTAATATATGTCCGGAAACTGGTTCTGCAAGAGTGAACAATTTACACTTTTGATGACCTAATTTAACCCTTCAGTTTGTACATTGCTTACGTCACCAGGCAGTATTAATTGTGTTATTGGACGTAGTTAGAGCTCAGGTTTTTGATATGTTAGTTTTACTAATACATCTTTATTATAAAAAAATAGACAATTAAAAAGACTCGAATTCTGTCCGGAAACTGGTTCCTGCCCAGTATACTTATTTACACTATATGTGCAGAGTTCGGAGGTACTTTACTGGAAACATCTGCGAATAATCCAGATTTTCATTCCTGCTCATGAAAAATCTCAGCAATTTTCTGTTTTTAAAAAGTTCTCGTTGCTATCGAAGGATCAACATTTCCAGAATTTGTTAATGGTTATTGCATATCTTACTTTAAATAGTAAAAAAATGCATCCAAAGTGCATTAATGCTGCCTCAAGATTGTCAATATTAGACGGTATTCAATATCTAAAATCAACCGACTTCCTACTAAGCCTAAAATCCATATAAAGGTAACTTTCGGTCATTTTGCACCTGCACTCTAGCAACGTCTGCACGTGAAATTTGTAACGTCAATAGCAATGAGTTACCGTATGACTGCCGAGCGGGTATAGCTAAAAAAAAGAATAATGGATTTTGATAAGATTATGATAAAGGGCAGCAGATGCAATAAAAAGGTTATGTTCCTTATAACCTTTTTATCTCATAAAGGCGTGTTAAGAAGGCTTTACATCCCACCCCTCTGCCCCCTTCTGTTTTTGGGTTTGAAGTGGAGCATTAGCCCCTCTAATCGCTGAGAAGATTTGGGACTTGTGGGGGTTGGGGGCTAAAATGGTCTCAGGTCGATTTAAAGGTACCGTGTATAATCAACGCCGAAAATCTTAGACTTTATCTCAATCAATTGAAAAGTTGCTGCACCTTGAAATCAGTTTTGATGGGAAAAACAACGCAAAATAGAGATTTTTGGCAATTTTAAGACGTCCCCCAGTTGCCATGGTAACTGGAAATTTAAAATTGAGCATGTTATTCCACAGGCTATGGCCCAGCCAACATTTGTGCCCAGTTTGATCAGTATTGAAGCATTTTTTTATAGTTTCATAGCAGTTTGAACTTGTAACAAGAGGCCTAATTCAATGATCGCAATGAGGTTAAGACGATACCGGCATGCTTGGACGGCATAAGCACTCGGGCCAATATTTTACAAATTGTGTTGATATGTTTCTTAAGGTAAAAACCTATTATTATTGTCATCTAAATATGTTTTGTTATCCTTTTTCTTTTCAGAGATGGGTCTCCCTGATCACAGTTTTTTGAGACATGTATTTCAAGATTTTTATCATCAATTTCGATGTTTCTACCCTGCTCCCGACCCTGCACACACTTTATTTCATATTATTATATAGTGTGATTTTCAATCAAATGGGAAATTAAATCTCTGTATTTGCCCGTAGGAAAAGAACAGTAATAACACTGAAAATCCATTGTTGAATCAGAAATATTTTAATAAATATCATATAATCAGTACATTATCAGCAAAGTGAAATGGAATCGATAAACAGACGTGAAAATTAGACAAAAATATCGAGTTTCCATTTTAATATGCTCATTCTGTTTTGCAATACACTGTACACTAAAGTTGGGCTATTTTGCAATTCTCTGTCCACTTAAAATCAATACTCGGTACACTTTCTTGTATCTTTTTAGGCCGGTATCTTTTTGTACTTTTCACACTTTTTGTCTGAAATTTGGACAAAGCATACTTGGATTATGAATAAAAAATTGCTCGATTCAATTTTTTTATATTGGTAACAATGATTTCTAACGATTCTAAAGTATCATGGTCAGTATTTTCTAGTGAGCAGCGGATCGTTTAGGGGTAGTTTAATTAATTTTACAAATACCTGTAATACTTAAACATCTTTTAGAGCTACAAAAATACCTCTAGATATATAAAACCCGTTGAAATAAATGAAATAGCCATTAGTTTGGAAAATATCGTCACTAAACTTACCTTCGTCCGCCGTTTAAAGTCCTCATAATATCGAGCAATATCCGGGGTACGGTATGTATACCGCAGTGACAACGTCAAAATAAAAGCGACATATAAAGATATGGAAGCCAGAACTATATTATAATTATAAAATATTTTATTATACAATTATATGATAGATATACAAGAAAAGCTGAACGCCGCTTGAAAAAAAGCTGGAAAACAATTATCTTTCTAATTAACTTACCATGTATCAAAATTAACATTCACCTCCGTCTCACCAGCCTTGCATGGTTTAACGCCTCCAAATAATGTTTTTTGAACAGTTAATTCCGGTATGAAAAACTTTACCTCTACAAAATGAGGACTGTCCGTGATTAATACTGGATTACATGTAGCTGAAAGTGAAAAAGGACATTTTTGCAAAAAAATAATTTAACATTTTGCATAACAAAGTCTGATCTTCAAAACAAGATACTAAATATGTTTTCTTTCTTTTTGAAAGACACTGATCAAAGCCCTCATTTCACCATTTTTCGGCCGAAATTCGGTCACATTCCGCATCCCGATTAATTTACATTTCCCCCTATTTCCAAAAAATTGTCCCTGAAAAATATCGATAATAACACAATGGAATATTGAAAACACAATGGACAATTGAACTGATTGTTGAATTTATATTAAGTATGTAGATCTGTCAGCAATCAATTAAGATAGTACCATTCTTGATGGGGTTAAGCGGGAAGTAACGGTGAAAGATACCACATGGCCATTAATTATAGGGTTACTTCCGCTATTGCGAAATTTTTAGCTATTTTCGCGAACCATCCTCGAATCGCATATTACAGTCAAGCTTATGGAATGCCGGTAGGGACATGCCACTTTGCTTATTTGCCAACAACTGAATTGCTTATTTGCTAATTGCTGATTTGCCATTTTGGTTATTTGCTAATTGCTGATTTGCCAATTTGCTTAT